GCAATTACTCTAGACTGCACCTTACGGACCACACTAGCAGGGAGATTAAAGAACGCACCACAATGCGCACTCGGATGGGCAGAGCTAGAATTCAGACCCAGGGATCTTTGCCCTGGGCAGCTGCTCTTGAAATCCAGCCCCAAGACAACCCCCAGTCTCCGAGCAGGAGCCATGTGGATCTGATCATCCTCAAAGATAAGGCCAGGACTCCTGGGGGCTCTGGGTCCTTCTCTACTCTGTAGTTGCTAAGGGGCGACCCCTGGGGACCCCTCTCTGTCCGCCTGCCAGGCCCTCATCTGCAGCCTGGCTGCGACAGGGTCAACAAGCAGAGCCTGGACCCAGGAGGCCAGGGAGTGGGAGTGGAGGGCAGCAGCCCAGAGGCCGTCCCAGGCCATCCCTTGCTGGAGGAGAACAGGGACTGCTGAAGGAAGCTGGCCCGGGAGATGATAGCAGCCCTTGGAGGGGTCTTGAGATCAGACAAACACCTCTCCCCACCCCTCTGCCTGGCTTTCCCCAGAATGGACAGATTTTTCAGGAATTAGCTCACTTTAAATGAAATTTAAGAACTCTCTCTTTGGGCTGCACCTGCTGGCAGAGGCCTATAATCCCTGCACTCTGGGAGGCTGAGGCAGAAGGATCAACAGTTTGAGCCCAGCTCGAGTAATTTAGCCACTTTGTGAGACCCTGTCTCAAAAAGGGGTGGTGGTGGGGAATGTAGCTCGGCGTGAAGGCTCTGGGTTCAAACCTCATTACTGCCAGAAAAACAAAACAAAACAAAAAACAGATTTGTTTGGATTGAGTTTCAATCCAGGCAGCTCTAGCTGTAGCTCTAGCTGGCTGGGAATGCACAGCCTCAGGCCCTGAATCCCCATGGACAGGATCCACTGTGTGGGAGACACCCCCACCATGGGAAGTACCCATTTGCACCCCTTCCTTCCTTTCCTTTCCGTTTTTTATTTGTTTTTCTAAAATGTGCTCATTACTTGGCGTGGTATTCCACGCCCATAATCCCAGCACTCTGGAGGCTGAGGCAGGAGAATGGTGGAAAGTTCAAGGCCATCCTGGGCTACATAGTGAGATCCTGTCTCAAAAAACAAACAGGCACACACACACACACACACACACACACACACACACACACACTAAGCCGTGCTATCACTATGCTGCCTCAGCTGATTCTCCTGCCTCAGCCTCCTAGCGCTGGAATCACAGGCATTCTATCTTTAACCTGTTATTTGAGAGCCAACATCTGCTGAATATTTTATACACATCAAGCATATGAGAAACATTTCATAAGCCTGCTTTCTTCCTGCTGTACCCATCTCACAGGGAAAGCAGCGAGCTGAGGTGGGTTGGTGCCTGCCCGATAGCCTGTGCCTCTCTTTGACCTGTCACACTGCTGTCTAGCATGGGCTACTCCTGGATGGGATCGGGGAAGCATCTGGGAGTTGGGGGTTCGAGCCCCCTGTCTGAGACCACTGAGGTGGGTGGGACTCAGAGCTCCACAGCCCCCTGACAGGGGTGGGGTGGAGGACCACAGGAGGAAGGGGCTGGGACCCCACTGCAGCCCCACACTGGCTCCCAGTGGCCGCAGCCCGGGAAGTGCTCCTTACAGCGCTGAACTTCATGGGAGAGGAAGCCACAGGGCAGAAGGCGCTGCAATGTGGTGGCTGGGCTGGGCAGCGCACACCCATCCAGAATCCCAGATGCCAGGGAGGCTGAAGCAGGACAATGACAAGTTCAAGCCCAGCCTGGCCTACTTGGTAAGGCCTTTTCTCAGCACTGGAAAATGTCTAGGGCTGGGGATGGAGTTCATTGCCAAGGCCCTGGGTTCCATGCCCATGATGGAAAGAAAAAAAGTGGAAAATGTCCCAAGCACCAGGAGCTGAGAATCTATCCAGAATACATGCCCAAGTGATCTGTGTCCCAGCACTTCTTATCCTCTATTTTGAATTTTATCTTTTTTTTTAAGAGTCAGGGTCTCCCTGTGTCATCCAGGTTGGCCTTGAACTATGGAGCTGAGGCTGGCCTCAAACACAGGGCAGTCCTCCCGCCTCAGCCTCTTGAGTGCTGGGATTACAGGTGTGCCCCACCATGCCTGGTTTTATCCCTTATTTTGAGACAAGATCTGTCAGTCACTAAGTTGCCCAGGCTGGGCGCGAACCTGCAGTCCTCCCTCAGCTTCCTGGATCGCAGTCCTGTGCCATCACACCCAGCTAAGCTTCTAAAATAAACTTTTCATTTTGGAACAAGTTTAGTGTTATGGGAAAGTTGCAAAGGGAGTAGAGAGCCCCCCTACATCCCCATCATTGACTCTGATGCTGTTGCTTTGGGGTTTGCCACAATGAAGGAAACCCCACCAGCACCTCCAGTCTGCGTGCAGGCTGCTCCTCTCCTGACACCCTGCTCCAGGTGCTGGGCTGGGGCCAAGTTGGGCACAAGGTTCTCACCTGGCTATGATAGGAGTGGAGCTTCTGCTGCAGGCTGTCGTGAGGTAGCAAATTTGCACACCTCTCTGGTCTGTGCCTCTTCAGTCACAGAGAGCAGATGCCAGCAGGGCATCACACAGGGCTTTGAGGTGGCTTCCTGAACCCGAGGAGCACGGGAGCTGCTGGCAGAACCCACCTGGACAAGCCCAGGGCCAGCCCAGCTTATCAAGCCCAGCGAACCTCACAGTCTGTGACTGCAACTGAGATAGTCAAAGAAGCAACTGAGCCAGGAAGAGGTGCAAACCTGTGATCCTGGCACTCTGGAGGCTGAGGCAGGAGGATCACCTGGACTACAGAGGGAGACTGTCTAAGGAAGAAAGAGAGAGAGAGAGAAAAGAAAGGAAGGAAAAGAGGAGAGGAGAGGGGAGGGGAGGGGAGGGGAGGGGAGGGGAGAAGAAAAGTGTAAAAGATGAACAAAGAAGCCGGGAGTCATGGGGCACGCCTGTAATCCTAGCACACAGGAGTCTGAGGCAGGGGGATCATAAATTCAAGCCCAGCCTGGACAATTTAGTGAGATGCTATCTCAAAATAAAAAGTAAAGGCTGGGGATTTAGCTCAGTGGCTCCGCCACCTGCCTCACAAGCATAAGATCCTGAGTTTGAGCCCTGGTACCAAAACAAAGAAAAAAATAAAACGGTCATGGGAAGTAGCTCGGTGCAAAGGTCCTGAGTTCAAACCCTGGTCAAACCATAAAAAAATACAATTGTCAGATGGGGCCCAGGCAGACCACTTGCTCATGGTCTGACAGCAAAAGGGCTTCAGAGCGAGGCTGAGGCCCTGATCTCAAGATTGCCACATTCCTGGCTCTGACTTGGTGGCCCATCAGGCTCCTCACTGCTGAAGGCATCCAGTCACCTGCCCATCCCTGCACACCACCCACCCATTCACACTGGCATCTGACTCTCTCCTGTGGTGGGCACTGTGCTGAGTGCCACTGTTCCTCACCTCATGGAGCTTGTCTTCCAGCCTCTGAGGGCTGGATCTCAGTCCTTGTTTCCCAAGAGTCTCTCAGTTTCCGGCATGTAATAGGTACATGATGAATGTTTGTTGAATGAATGATGGATCTCCTTTTTAGTCATGTGCCTGTGTTTTTTACTGATGTAGGGGTAATTTTGAGGACATTAATGGACGTAAAGACTTCCTATCTATTTGTCTTGAGCCACCTTCTCGTCGTTCTTAGCAGAAAACTTGGTGTGGGTGTACTGAAAGAGCATTGGGCAAAGAGCCCAAAGACCCAAGTTCATATCTGTGCTCTATAAACTGCTTGCTTCTCAGTGGCTACTAAAAGACTTGAGTCTTAGCCCAACTGTACCCAGTTCACTCAGCTGCCCTGTACATAAGGACACTCGTAGGAAGTATGTGAATAAAAAAGTGAAAAAACAACTTCTAGAAGTTACACTGAGGTGGTACCTGGATGATTTACTCAAACATGGAATTCGTGGACACACAGGAGAGAAGGCGGGCAGCACACTCATCCTAAGCTCTAGGATCCAGGGGTCGCAGCAACCTTGAATTTGTCCCGGCCTCAGAAGAGACTGGACTCACAGGTTCGTGACATCGTTTGTCACCGGCCAAGCATGACCCACGTCTGGTGTGACAGCAGTGTGAAGCAGTGTCAGAACCCATGGCTTGCGAAGCATTTTGAAATCTGTAGATAAAAGCTCCATGAAAGTGCAGTGTTTGCATTCTGTGTGCCCAAGTCATGCCCAGCTGTGCCAGGCTCCTGGAGCAGGGACCCCCGCCTGCCACAGGACGCTCACCAGGGACCTTTGGGGCCACTGCCTGCCCACTTCTGAGGCCTCTTTCCCTTCATGTCCAGCCTAGGTCAACCCAGGTCTGCTCTCAGTGAACTCAGTCCTTGTCGCCAGTGACATCCGCCGCCTTCTCACCGAGGCAGAGTTGACAACCCAGGACTCTGTCTGATTTCTACCATTTAGGGCCAAAACTGCCCCCTGGGATGCCACCCTGGATGCAGTGGCCACGGGATGAATGGGCAGGAGGGAAGCCCCGAGCGCCTGCCCATCTGGTGGCTGTTTGTGAACCTCAGTGCCGCGCTACCCGCCCTGCCAACTGCTGCTCAGTCTGTGCGACTGGAAGGAAGGAAGGAGTGGAACCGGAACCAGCCCCGCTCTCCCTGCCACATTAATGCTGCCAAGGGAGCCTGTTTTCACTTCTTTATCCAGTAAATGGGAAGTGGGGAGGGGGTGCCTCCATCTGCCCTTTGAATTAGTGAGGGGCTGTCAGCAGGAGGCCCAGGCAGGGAGGGATTTGAGACCCCCTGGGCTCCCAGGAAGATGGAAGTTCTGTTGTGACACTGACCCAGAGGGCTCACAGCTTTTGTGGGATTCTCAAAGGTTCTTGCCCCACAGCACAGATGAAAGCCAGGAGCAGTCTTCAGCCCCTTCCTTCCAATGCGCCCTGCACAGCCGGCCCAGGGACCCCCTGCCCAAGGACGTGGGAGAAGGACCTAGTTCAAGTCCACCTCAAAGAAACTCGCCACGCCTCTGTACGAAATCAGATTTATTAAAACGTCTCCACAGGTCAGCGGCAGCCGTCTCACTGCTCACACAGCCACACACACACAGATCTAGTGTTTCTAAGTCCTGCCGGCCCGGAGTCTCCAGCCGGATAACGTATCACAGATACAAGAGTCAAACAACCACGAGAGCAAGAGTGCGACAGAGGCCTGTCCCCCCCCGCTCTAAGTCCCATGATTCTGTCAAGGTAATATTGCCCACAGCCATTCACATTTCACGTGGCTTTACACACGCAGGCTACTCACGCACACAGACAGGGGACAAGCCTGGGAGCCGACACGACAAATCAGACGTCTGTAGAAAAGGTAAAAGATATGTACAAAGTACACAGTAGTGAGGTATACACGGCATTCTCACAATGCATGTTAGTAGTTTGCCTAGGCGTAGCCCTTGAAGACGCCTGCCTGGCTTTGTGCCATTTCTCAAAATACAGTATGTTTGGTTTACCCGTTTAACTACCCGATTCCAGCACTGTCCGCTGGTTTTTAATGCGAGCTGCAGTTTCTTGGTGAAGCTCCATCCTTGAAGGGACTGAACTTTCGTCTGCAAGTGTGGGAGCAGAGGCCAGAGGCCACCACAAAGGAGGCTGGGGGCCTCGGCGGCAGGGGTGGCAGCCAGACGTGAGAAGCAGGTCGGATGACTTTTCAAGTCCTAAGCAACTGAGGGTATCTGGGGCTCACTGTGTCCCCAGAAGCCGGCTGCACAGATGTCTTCACAGCACTCATCATTGAACTACGGCTGCACACGTGCTGCCCACTGGGCCTCGGGGCCATGGCACGCTGTGGAATCTGTCTGAGGGGCTCCTCACTCCATAATATGCTTTCTTGAAGCACGAAGATGTTTAATGTTTGCCCCTGAGTGAGTAGCATGAAAAGTCTCCTTATCCATTGCCCCGGGACAGTACACCCCACCTAAGTCGGTCTTGGGAGAGAAAGCCAAGGACTAAGTGCTAGGGAATTTCAAGAGAGCCCTGGGAGCTAATGGCTTCAAGTGAAAAAAAATTAGTTTTAAAGGACTGCAGTCCAGGTGCAACAGTTGGCGGTATTTCTCAGGATGGGCCGGGGAGGCCTTTGCAGCTGCAGGGCAGGTTCCCAGGAAAGAACTTGTGGTCAGAGAAACCACAGTCCAAGTCCAGTGACCAAAGACAAGGCCACTGATGGCAAGTTTATTGGCCCATTATCTGTCATCCTGGTGAAACAGTCACTGCCCAAAATGCCACTATCCACTTTGCCTCCCTTCCCACTCCATGTTCAAGTCCGTGGCACCTGAATACATGTGGGCCGCTCACATTTTCTGCCCTCTTCAGGATCTGCAGGAGCCCCAAATCCAACACAAGGAGAGCCGGTGACAGATGTGGAGAAGGGGATGCAGCCGTCGCACAGCCGAATGGACAGACACAAGCTGCTGGGACCAAGTCGCTCATCCCAACCAAGAAGGGGGCGCCACATCGAAGTGCAGTCACCCACCTGCATGGAACCGTGCCCGAGGGCCTATCCGCCTCCAGAAATGGAAACGCCATGTGTGAGAATTCTGAGGTTTCTGAGGTTTCTGGGATTAGCAAAAGAAGGAACTGATGTCACTGTCCTCCCGGTATTCTGGAACGATCTGGTCTGCAGTTCCCATTTCAGAGTCGGCGTACCCAGGCTCCACAGCGGACTCAAACCAGGGGTGGAGCAAGATTTCGGGTGCAGTGAGTCTCTCAGAAGGCTCTCGTCTCAGGAGGCTGCGGATGAGGCACCGAGCTTTGGGGGAAATGTGGTCAGGAATGCAGAACTGTCCGCGTCGGATTTTGGAGAAGAGGGCACTGGGGTCTGAGTCATGGAAGGGGTACCGTCCAACCAAGAGGGTGTAGAGCATCACACCCAGGCTCCACACATCCGCAGCCTTCCCTGAGTAGGTCCCTGTGGTGTTGAGGATCTCAGGGCTCACATAGGCGGGGCAGCCGTGTTTGTCCGACAGAGCGTCGTCTTCGCCCTTGATTATGTGCGTGTCCTCCAGGCTTTCCAGTCTGAGCTGGGCTCTGCAGAAGAGAAGCAGCAGGCTGTTATGTCCAGACCAGGTCTAAGGAATCAGGCCCACACCTGTAATCCCAGCTCTCCCCAAGCCAAGCCTGAGCAACAGTGAGACCGTTGCAGCTCAGTGGCAGTGTTTGCCCAGCATGGATGAGGCCCTGGGCTCAACCCCCAAAACCACAAAAAACAAGTAATAGCAACAAGGCCTTCCCAAACCCATGCCCACAAGTGCTGAGAGCAGAGGTTCGGGGTGCCATTGACTCCTTTTGCACTAACTCACAACTTCACAAACCAATGCACACTGCAACAAGTGTTTGCAAAGTGTGGGGAGAATCCCTGGGGTGGAGGGTATGTGGCAAAATCCCAAACAGCAGCCATGATGCTCACACGTGTCAGAGACACCCTGACAGCTCCCATGACCAGCACAGTCCACACCGCAGAGCCAGCTGGGAGCTGGTCTTGGGAGAAGGTTTGACATTCTCCACAAAGCCACTAGGGAACAGCAAGCAGGACCCCTACTTCCTCAGGGAGGGCAGGAGAGACCCTCAAGCCAATGTTTCCTCAGGACACTGCATGCCAGGGCCACTCGGACATGTTTTGTACTGCAGAGCATGGAGCCCACACGGACACATACACAGGGAAACGAGCCTGGGTCCCTGCTCCCTAGGAAGGGAAAGCTGCAGGGGACATTCCATTGCAGGGCATTTAGTGGCTACGGACGTTATCCTGGACAGAGCAGGAACATGGACAAACACATGTGGCCAGTCATCTGTGGGACCCAAAACTCCTGCCTAGGCACACACTCCCCCTAGGAGGGCACACCAATACACAGGTGCTTACTCTGGACAGGGAGGGCTCTGTCCTGGACACAACCACTCTCTGGGAACCCTCCACTGTAAGGCTGTCTTACAAAGCTGCAGCTGACTCTGGAAACATCGTGTTCAGAACCAGCCACTCGAGTCTCCTGGGTCCCAGAGCTTGAAGCCCGGTCTAGAGACATCACACCAGCCTCTCCCTGCTTCTCTGCAACAGCCCTGACTCCATAAGTCCCCTCTGGGAAGTTAAATGCACACAGCTGGCACGAGCCAAAGGGTCGCTTCCTCTCCCTCTAAAAAAGCTCTGGGTTTTTTCCTTTTCTTTCCCCCTTCCTGCCTTCCTGTTCCCTGGAGTAGAGTATACATGTGCTAACTTCGGTATGTCCTCAGCGTGACCTCCCTGTCGTTATGTAAAATACCCATTGGTTCTGTAAACGGAAAATCTGACTCAACACACACCGGCTGCCGCTGATTGGCTCTGTAGCACTGAGCCCTGCACCTGTGCTGGTTACACGAATAGTGTCAGCCTGCCATTGCTTAACCCCCGGGTTGCCAAACCCCATGCCCATGACACTGGCCTGTGCAATGCAGATTTCAAAAGCTAGTAAGGAGGTGTGTAAGGCATGTTTCAGAAAAAGGCATCACCGTGTCACAGGAAACCAAGTTCCAGGAACTGGACACTTCTTCATTGCGAACTGTTTGCTTTTCTTTGCTAATCAGTACATTTCAATCCTGACTGCAAGGTCATAGGCAGTCGTGCTACTGCAGTTAACCCAGGACTATTCAGGGTGCTCGGAATTACAGGCAAAAATGCACAGGTGGCAGCACAGCAACAACACAGTAACTTGTGCTGCCCCCGTTCTGGAGCATTACTGCTGCCAGTCTTTCCGCAAGACATGTGGTCCGTGTCTTAAAATCAGGTCTACCTCATGTGGCTTCCTGAATTCTCTCATCTGAAACCTCCACTTTGAATCTTAATGTCTCGTTATTTTCTTATCAAGCTCATCTTGTCCTTTATGAGGTAAGCTATGATCTATATTTAGCAATCAACTCTAGCCAACTTCTATTTACTATTCAGTGTGGCTATCTTTTGAAAATGTAGCCAACGAGATGTCTAAGATGTCACCAGACAAGGTGAAGAAAATACAGGGGACCTAGCCTGAGAGACAGCAGAAACAAGGTAGGAAGGAGGACAGATTTCTGCAGATGTGACACGTCCTAGGCAGAACAGAGTACCTGGTGTTCCGGGTCTGACAGCGTCCCCTAAGAACATGCATGTAGATTCGCATCACAGGCCAGAGGGCTGACCTTGCTGACAACATTGAGGACCGACCTTTCTGATCCTGAGGTACCGGTGGGGACCCACAGAAGCACTGAGGGTGCCCAGGCCCCATCCAAGACAGTACAGAATAAACCCACCTTGGCTGTAACTTCTCAGGAACAGGAGGACGTCTAGATTAAAAATCTGGGAGCAACCGTGTCCTGGCGTTGCTCTGCAGCAACACACTGCCCCTCACCGCACCTCCTGCACCTGCCTCTCGGTTCCAAAAGGCCACAGGCGGCTGCTCACCTCTCCTCCGTGGAGAAAACAAATTTCCTAAGCTTCAGGTCCCCCAGCACAATGGCCGACTGGTGGCAGTGGGCAACGGCAGAGACAATCTGCTGGAACAGCCGGGCAGCCTCCTCTTCCCGCAGCCTCTTCCGGCTTCGCACATAGGAGTGCATGTCCCCAAAGTCCTTCTCGAAAAAGACGTAGGCCTTGGTTTCCCCGAGGATCACCTCCACGATGCCAGTGATGTTTCTGTGCGATGGCAGCTGGATGTAAGGCCTGATTCTGTCCTGGTAGTGTTTAAGGGGAAACACCTGCAGAGAGAAGGTGAACAGTTTAGGGGCTGCCCCCAAGTTCCTGAGGAACCCCGGCTGGGACTCAACCCTGAGCCCTGAATGACAGTTCATCTACTGCCTCCCTTTATGCACTCTGAAACCAGTCACACCCACACCCACTCGCTGTGGGCCAGCGCTCAAAGGGCTGCCCCTTCCACCTGGCCCACGGAAAGCCCTGTCTTCTGGCGCGAGCCCTCCTTCCATGCCTGAGAGGGACTCATGGGCAGGCACCCCGCACCTCCAGGGGCTCCAAAGCAGTCCCCACACATGCACGCATCTCCTGCACAGCCAAAGGGCTAGTCACAGGGGAGGCACAGAATGTGGTGACTCTGCAGCCTCCAAGGAGAAGCGCTGGCTGCTGAACATGCCTATCCGTCATTAGTCAGAAGGCACTGATGACTTGGAAGGAGACTTAAGCAACCTGCCTACAGTTGTGAGTCAGGTGTCCGTAGCTGGAGTTCCATTCTCCCGCAGGGAGGCCGGTAGGGTGCCTGTGAATGGGCTTTTTCAAGTTCACCCCCACCCGTGGGACCCGCCCTGCCCCGGAAGGGGGCGCGCATCTCCCCGAAGGAGGGGGCTGGTCTCTGTAAGGGCCTTTGTTCGGTCCAGTTACTCATGTCCTAGACTCCCCTGGAAATGGTGACACACGGGCTGTCACCATCTGGACTGGGCTATTATCTGCTCACAGGAACTGGGAGGGTTGCACAACGACAACGCCGAGGCCCACCCCGCCTCTGAGCTGGTGGCTCTGGCACCACCTGGCACAAGCTCCCTGCTCCCCCTGCTCCCGCCCTGCCCAGTTCTCCCCAAAGAGCTCTCCGCCGCACCCCCACCCCAGAGCCCAGAAGAGGAGGCCTCCACACACACAAACTGGGCTCGAGTGTGCCCTTGAAATTTCATGCGCGTGGACAGTAGGTGGCAGCAGCAGGCGGGGGGGTGGGCAGGTGAGTTTCGGGAAACCCAGGAGCAACTTTAACTCGGGAGATGAAAAGCAGCAGCCCGGGCTCTGGGGTGTCCAAGTCACCAGGAGCAGGATGTAGGTTCGAGCTGCAGGGGAGCCCGAATCCTGCTCCTGGGGGAGTCGGGTCCACCGCCTCCTCCGAGATGGGGACCCTTAGGCTCCAAAGAAAGTCGCCGCCCGGGACGAGTATGGGAATCGCCAGTAGCCCAATCGGACTCTCGGACGTCTGCACTCGGCCAAGCCCCCGCCTCACTGCAGGCCTCTGCTGCCGGCTCCCTCGGGACGGAGGGCGGGGTTCCCGCCCCAGCTGGGGG